TTCCATGAAGTCAGGGTAGGTTTACATTACAATTGTCATAAAAAATTCAGACACATGAAATCATAAAAGCCAAAACAAGACAAAAACAGTTTAATACAGGTGAATGTCAATGCCAAACAAGAAAAAGGCAGTGAAGCTGCAGCTCATCTGAGTGATTTCAACATAACAGAACTGCATACATACAAGGAATTCAAAATGAGGGAAGAATCTGAATATGAGCAAAACTGAAATTAAAATCGAACAGTATACTGACTAAAAAGGAGGATAGAAAATGCAAGCAGCTAGCTGATAGCAAACACTAGCTATAGCAGATGTGATTGCTATTAGCTCTAAATGCATGTTAAATGAAAGCCAGTATCTGTTCTCACAGAGATGGCCTCAGTCATCTTAAAAGTTAGTTTGGACATCAAAACTTTAGAAAAGGATTAATGGCAGGGTTTGAGAGAGGTAGAGAAACCCAGTGTCTGATAGTAACCATGGGCAAATGTTCACAGTCCTGGATGGTTATTCTGCAGCTTTGAATGAGCAGTGTTACATTTCACAGGAGCTGGTGAAGATCCTGCATGTAGAAGTCAACAAAACCTTATAAGGTTGTGAATGTAAGATTCAATGAATTGACTTCTTTCTAGATAAAGCTGAGCAAGCAGTAAAGTAGATGCTGGTGACAAAAGCTGAGAAAAGGAAAGCAATAGTACCAAAGATTTGCAAATAATGACTAGCATTTAACTCTAAGAAGCACTTACACAAAGCAAAACAAAAGTATTATAATAGCAGGCATCATAAAATACGAGGACCCAGAAAAATTAAAGTAGTAAAAATGAGTAACCCAGTCAAAAAATTCAGTCATACAGTTAGCAAGGCTGGGTGTGATTTCAAAAAACTGAGGAAAAGGATGATGAAGGGATTACAAATTGTAAAATAGGTGAGAGAAACTATCATCAGAGAAATCACAAACTGTGTCATCTAATCAAAGTTCTGAGAGCTGAGGAATAAAAAATGAAGTGGAGGAAATGTGCCTGGCTGGGACTTCTTAAAATTGCTCCTAGTCACTCTGAGTAAAAAGACTAATCAGAACTACCTAACAGCAGGAAAACATTACAGTAGAAGAGGTAAAGTGACCGAAACTGTCAGCTTTTGGTATCCAGCTCTTCCCGTTGCACCATCCGTTATATAGTACTGGCTATCTAAATTTATTTTAATAAATAGTATGCTGAAATAACTGTTTAAAAGACAGTCATAGCACACTTGGTTTAGGGTCATAAATTCTGAAAGGAATTAATGTGTATATCTAAGAGCTTATTTCTCAAGTTTGTGACTTGTGGTGAAACATTAAGTTCAATTTTATTTGAGCTTTTAATCAGTCTTATCTTAAGCAATAAAACTATCGTTTTGAACACCCATCTATTTTATTTCTAGAATATTGTACAGATTTAAAGCAAAGATCAGTTGTTAAAGTAACAAGTCAAAAGTAAGAAGCTAGATGGCTTTCTTTAGTCAGGATCTATAATAAACTTAGGTAATTACTCCTCACATTTTAATTTCACTGTAGTAAAGTTTAAAGTGGAACTAACAGCAATGTAAAACTTGAATTTGTAGTAACTACAGTTTACTGCTTAATAGTGTGGAGCAAAGAAAATTTTAGTTAATGAGTCCATGAGACCAAAACAAAAACTACAGCAAACTCAGTCAAAATGTGATTATATATGAAATCTCTGAGGACTATGGGAAATCAGGAAATAAGGAGCTTTTAGTAAATATTTTGGGTTTGTGACACTTTGCATTGTGACTAGCCATTGGCTCTGACAAGCAACGTATCAAATCTGTAACAGAGACTGCATGTTTATCTGGATTGCTCAGCCTTCAGTAACGACTGAAAACACTTAAAAGCAGATGGCTGGGGGGGCTGTAAGAAACCATTTTGGTTTTGTCAGTCTCCCAGTGGATAAGGGCCCACACTGTAATGAGTACTAATTAATAATCTTTCCAGGAACACTGGCAAAGAGCCATGGATTGAATGCATGTGGAAAAATTTGCTGTTCTCAAAAAGCTGAGTTTTCAAATCAGGGTTTTCGGGTGCAGTGGGACAAGATTTGATACTTCACCAATCTTTTCTTTTTCTAGTCTGTGAAGCAGTCCTTAGGGAACAGTTTTCGTAGAGGTGTTTCTAGGAAAGTAGTTTTCCAACACTTTGGCTTTCTTAGGCCTGAATCAGAATAGTTCAGAGCTACCAGAGAGAGTACTGACACTTCTGCTACTTCACTTGGACGTGCCAGCTCTACCACTATGGTTCCACTTCTTGGGATGCTTATGGGGTATCTCAAAAACAGGCACGTATTCTTAAGTAGCTATGCTACTTTTGGGAAGGCTGTGCAACAACCACAGGGGATATGCTATTATGTGTTTCTCCCAGCATACTGCCATGTCCCCTGCACAAACGTATTCCATGCGATTTAGCCCTGACAATTTAGAAATGGTGTCTTTATGAAAAATTATTGTAATACTTTCCATTACAGAAATCTCTTATTGAACCTCTGATGTTAACAACTTGATCACAGGGGTACAGGATGCAAGTTATGACAAAATTGGCTAGCTAGTATAATGTAGTTGAGTGCAGATTACTGTAGGATTTGTACAAAAGGGAATTTGTTGCTGCCATTTTTTTGGTGTGTGTTTTATACTGATAGTAAATATCTCTGTTTTGCTCTGTTGGGTTGATGTATAGAATCCTCCTGTCATTAGCAGGTACTTCTTGCCCATATATTGGTTTGTGAGTTTTCAATGATAAACCGGTGACATGAAGTTCTTTCTCATTTTTGTTGACTGAGAGTTGCTGTTTGAATATTAAGTAAAATTTCATTTACTCTTACAACATAGATAGTATCTGAAAAGATTATTATCTCAGAGGGTAGAAAGTATCTGTTAACCTCTCCATGCAATAATAACTACCTTAAGTCTATATGTGAAAAGACAAAACCAAGCTAAGACATGTAACCATGATGCTTATGTGCTGTTCATGTGCAATGTCTCCTATTGTCTTCCTACTATGCATTTTCTGTCATTTTCATCAGTCTCCTGATAAAATCATAAACGCTATTAAACAACAAACATTATAAATGTTATCCCAAATAAAATTAGCTGAAAATAAATTAGTTTCATTATTTAAACAAAAGAAATATTATTCCTACCACATTTGCTTCTGGAAGTTGAGAAGTGAAGATGGCATTGGGGATAGAAAAAAGCCTGGGAATTTGCCCTTGAGTTTCAACCCATTTGGGGTTGAAAATAAACTTTCTTTTAAAAATAAACTTTTCTTAAGTGATGATCTTCAAATCGTGGACTTTAGTGTTAGCAACTCATTTAAATAGCTGCACAGTAAAAATGTTTGGGCAGCATTGTATTTCAATGACAGTTCTGCCTGTGAGAACTGCAAGATCTTATGCAATCAGTAAAATCAGAATTACTGCCATGTATAAATGACAGTCTGAATCCATGTGTGTTAAAGAAATCCATGGTATTAAAAGAAAAAAAAAAATGGTCTGGAATTGGAGCTGATGAAACAGAGGCGCTCTAATTAAACATTTAAGAATTGCTCTGGCCAGAGATTCCTTTGATATATGGGTAATGCTGCTTACCTTTAGAATAAAAATGTTAGTAGTGGTGTTCTCAGAAGTCAACACCAGATACTTGAATAATCCTCACAGATGTTATTACTTTAAATAGGAGAGGTACTGCCATTCCTACAAAATAAACACATAGTAGGATGGAAATAAAAAAAATCCCTCCAGGATGTTAAAGTGTAAACACAGGCTCTTGCAGTAAGTACATGGAGAACTACAGTGAGAAATGAAGAAGTTGAGGGAAAAAGTAAGATTGTAAATTATAAGGAAAAAGGGAGATTTTAAGTCTGTCATTTAACCCTGAGGATAAATTCCTAAGTGATGAGATAGTTAGGAATGTAAAGCTGGCAAATGAGACAAACTACACAGAGTGGAAAGACGGGGTCAAGAGAGATCTAAAAACTAAGGAATTTTGAGCTCTCTTCAGATTCAAGTCAAAGAACATCTCTGAAACTTGTAATAGGGATATGGACTCTAAAAAACTCAGTAGTTAAACAAAATAAAGGTTGTTAAGTTCAGTGATCAAACTGGAAGTCACAAAAACCAAACCAGAAATCAAAAGTGAACATCAGATGGTAGTTCAACCATCATAACGGAAAAGGGGATGTGGCAGGTACTAGTACTTCAACCAATGGAACAGAAAAGGGGACATGGCAAATTCTTCATTATATCAAACCCTTAAATCATGATGCAATACACTCATTTGTTCTGAATTTCTGGACTGTGGGTGCTGACCCCCACCTTTCCCCAGTGTCAGAGAATGCAATCAGGGAGTTGTGAAGCGTTGAAAATTTACTGAGCTCTTCCCTACTGTTTGCACACCCTTCGTCTTCAAGGTCAAGTAACTTCCATCAACCTCTCAAAACTCTCCCAGATTATATAGATTTACTGTCATCAATAATTCTTAAACTATTTTGTAATAAATTGTGAAAATCTGACTTAAATAAGAAACTTCAACCTGAGAAAGTCTAAGAGGGCTCATCTAGTTCTGGTTACTGTATTTAGCGATAGAACAGTGAAACAAACACATCGTTATACACCTTAGCTGATAAATCTGTGCTGTTAACTGGCTGTGACTGTGTTTTAAATAACTATTTGTAATGAAAATGAAGCATGGAACTATTTTAATGAGAAATAAAAACTTAATGTTCAGTTAGGAACATAGATTGTACTTGGCTGTTCCTATAGTACGTTATTACTTCTACCCTGGGCAAGTTTTGTGTGTACTGACTGCATTTGCTGCTTCTGTCTTAATTTCTGCTTTTGACAGCAAGTTTCTTGTGCTGTTTGGATTACTTCTGTATTAAGATACTGATGCTGAAGTCATGCTGTAGGTACCACTTAAGAATCATTCGTTAGAGATTCAAATAGTAGTTTATTTTAAAACTTAAGTAAATTCACCAATGTATTAAATTTGCATGATAGTCTTAAATTAACTTGTATATACTGCAGCTAAATGTATCAGGCCTTATAAAGTTAAAATATATCTTAATCCAGACCGTGAAAACTTGCAATTACATTGTATATCCTGGAAGCTTGTTTATTACAAGTTCACTGATGTCTTTGTATTGATTAGGAACACTTAGTTTTCCCAGAAAATCACCCTCTTTGTCTGACGTACTGTTTTCCAGGACACTAAGTTCAAGATCACGCATGTCAGATGGCAAGTACGAGCCAACTTGAGTTACTGACTGGTTTCTTCCTGCAAATGTCTGCCCCTTTCCTACATTCAGATCAATATCAGAGCTATCTTGTTTGCTTCTCAGTGTAGATACTTGTTTAATATGCTGATCACCGCTGTTCTCTTCCTTGCTGATCTGTTGGGTTTCCTGCTCTTCATCTAATAACAAGGCCTCCAGTCGAGAAAGGTTCGGTGAATCAACAGATTCACCCCTAGTTCTCTTGCTCATTTTCAAGTCACAGTTTCTCTTCAAAGACTGGACTGGAGATGAAGCTGAAGGAACTGGCAGAAGATCTGAACTACTTCCAGCTCTTTGACTTGTCTTTGAAATTCTGGACCTGCTGGATTCCGGCTCTGTATCTGACCAGCCTTGCTTTGGGCTTTCAAGCCACAGAGGTTCAGGACTGCTGTCAGGAGCTTCTGAGTCTCTGCCTATACACTCAGCACTGGTGAAATCTTCTGAATAAACTGTGTTCTCAGGACTAGCAACAAAGTCATCTGAGTATACAAATTCAGAGCGGTTTTCAAGACTCCCGCTGGGGCTTGGTTGGTGATCACTTAGAACTGACACATCATCATCATTTGTGGTTTTACGATGGATTAAGTGTATTGCTTCCTCATTGCTTCCCTTTGCATTAGCATCTGATGGGAAAGCTGCTGGGAGTTGGGCTTTCACATACTTTTCCTTGTGAGCAGATTTTAATACAGTTTCCTCCAGTAAGGGGGCTGTAGTTACTTTGCATGTTCGTTCCTTGCTTGCAATTTCATTGTTCTTCAATACACTTGCAATAGCTTGTTTCTGCAGGCCCGGGGACACATCTCCTGTCACAGAAACGCACTCTGTGAGAGCACCCTTTTGTAATGAAGTCTCAACAGTTTTATCAAACCGATTATTCTGCTTTGAACTGTCTGCCTTGCTACAATGCCTGTGAGAAACCACATGCTGTTCTCCAGCATTTCTGACCAGCTTTCTTTTGGATAAAGGGTTTCTCTCCCTCAGCATCTCCATTTGCTTTTTTCTGTACTGCTCTCTCCTTTCATGAATTATGAGCTTATCAGGGTTGGTCTGCTGCAGCCGTAGCCTCAGTGTATTCGTCAGCCCGTACAACAATTTCTTCCTGGGAGGTCTGTTTTCCTTAGTTTCACAGTTCCTTTCAGAGCTCATCTCTCCCTGGGGTACAGCTTTCTTAGGTCCTCTCCCAGCCTGAGAACGCAGCAGTGAGGTGGACTCTTGCTGGCCTTGCTTGAATTGAGGGCTGGCAGCTCCAGCCTGAATTGAGGGCTGACTGCCACCAGGGCCCACAGGTGCCTCTGAAGGCTTGAGGGCAGACGAGCAGCGGGGGCAGGGGGGCTGCGAGGCCATGCCACCGCTCCCGGGGGCCTGGTAGAGCCAGGCAAGACAGGGGTGGACAGCAGCAGGCGTAGCGCTGTGGGTGAGCACCGACAGCTCTGCCAGCAAGGCACGGAGTAGCGGCAGCTGCCCTAGGGGGCCGTGGAGCTGCTGAGGGCTGGAGGGGCGCAGCAGTGAGGGCCCGCCACTGGGACGCGGGGGGCTCCGGCCCTCGTCTTTCTCCCGTTGTCTCCCGGCCTCGACACGCTCCCATTGCCCTGCGGCCGCCGCTGCCGGCGGCTGATGAGGGTCAGCAGGCTCGCGGCTGTAATAGAGCGTGGGAGGGCAAAAGATGTTGCCCTCCAGCTCCTCCTCCTCTTCCTCCTCGCCCCCCGGCTCCGGGGAGGTGGCAGCGCGGGGGCTAGCGGAGCTCGGCGGGGGCGGCTCCTCGCCTGCCCCCAGGCTGGCGAGGCGGTAGCCCAGCACCAGCTCCCCGACGGGGCGTCCCGCGGCGTCCCGCAGCGGGAACCGGCCGCGGCGGCCGCAGGCAGCGGGCGCCCCGGGCCGCTGCAGCAGCTCGGCGGCGGCGGGGGCCAGGGAGACGTCGCAGCCGCCGAGGAGGCGGGGGGGCCCCGGGGCCAGCCCGGCGGGCAGCGCCAGCAGCAGGGCGCGGAGCGGGCGGCGGCGGAGCGCGGCGCAGAGCGAGCCCCGGCGCCAGCGGAAGAGGCAGCGCTTGCCGCGGCCGAAGGGGAAGGCCCGGCCCGGCGGCGGGGGCGGCGCGGCGGCGGCGGCGGCGGGGCGCAGCAGGAGGGTGGGGAAGCCCAAAAGGCGCAGCGCCACGGCGGGGCGCAGCGCGGGGCCCGGCGCCGCCACCCGCACCGCCTCCACCCACAGCTCCAGCGCGAACAGCTCCTCCGCGCCCCTCGCCGCCATGGCGCGCCAGGCTCTCGCGAGAGCCGTGCGGCTGGGTAAGGCGAGGCCGCCGGCCCTCTCGCGAGAGGAGCGGCGCTCACCCCAACCCCTGGGGCGTCGTTGCCCCCGGCAACGCGCCTTAGCAAAGCCCCCTGGGAGTTGTAGTCCGGTCCGGGAGGGCGTCGGCGTCCCGGGGCAGGCACGGGAGGCACTACCCGCCACCCCCCCGCACGGCAGAACCCAGGGACTCCGAGGGGCTACTCAGCCCCTGATCCCACGGGTGTGTGTGGGGGGGGGGGTCGTTGAGCCGTGCTCCGCGGTCCTCCTGCGTGCCCCCCGCGGCGGACTCGCGGCAGCCTTGTTGCAGCCTGCCCTGGGCGGGGGCTGCGGGGACAGGCCGGGTTTGGGGCAGCCGGTGCAAGCCAGGTGCTCCCCGGTGTCTGCTCACAAGCGCCCTGTGTGGCGTGGCGGCTGCTGTCGCGCCCCTGCCCTCGGCTTTGAAGGCAGCGGCCGAGGCCCTGGCCGTGTTTTTCCCACCTGGATCGAGTAACAGCCCCAGGAGCAGGGCGGGATGGCGCACTGCGCTCCATCAGTCAGCAGGAGTGCTTGTGGAGGCAGGCAGGGACGTTAAACTGTTTCCTGCACCTTTGTGGCCTCTTCCCACCCCAAGAGAAACATCGAGGCCTGTGCCAGGGGCTGTGGGCTGAAGAGTCTCTCCACGGTCAAGGGCCCATACATATTTGAGATTTTTAAAACTGTGGTTCTACATTAATTAGATTTTTCTAATCAGCTGTAAATGTCACCTTGTCATATTTAATGTCTCCATCTCTGTAATGCCTGAGTGCCTTGGGCATGCATGGATAAATGCCTATTTTCTCTCTTGTCTGCATGTAAAGTGGGAGTTGCAGTGGACACTGAAGAATTTCACTCCTTACCACCTGCCTGGCAAAGAGAGTGCCCTTCCCTTACACCAAGAGTCTCTTTGCTACAGGCATAGCAAATACTGGCCCAGCTGAGAAGAAAATTGTTTTGTTCAGTTAGTAAGTTGACTCCAAAAACAGTGTATCCTAAATTGCTGGTGTTCGGTTAAATTTACAGTATATCCTCACCATTACCATACCATTTACCTACCTAGTTACTACCAGTGAAGTGACTAAAAGAAAAACCAATCCCCTCTCCCTTTCTTTTTATTCCCTGCATTTCCCCTCCTTTCCTTCCTCTGCCAAATCACAATCACTTTTTACAAGAGCAGAAACCATCAGGAAATGGTTAGAGTCCAACCCTTTGCTGTTGGTCAGGTCCCTTGATTATTATTATTTAGAGGACACTCTTCATTAGTGGTTATGTTTGAGAACAGAGTTAAGGAGGTTGACCTCTGAATTGTGACCAGTGCTAAAGAAGTAAATAATTAAGTTGTTCTCCGTTCCTCCACTGCCTCTATTCTAAGCACACGAGTCTAAGAGCTACAAGTAGTCTGCTGTCAAGGCTGTGTTCCGGTGTTGCCGTTGTACTGGCATTGTGGCAGATTAAACAAACGGCCAGTTTGTTTTGCTGCCACATTCATCTCCTGCCATCAGTCATCTGCTTTCCTTGTGTTTCCTTTTACTTAAGCAAGTTCCCATCCCAGGAGGGGCTGACAGTTTAGTTGTCATTCTCCATAAGGGAACCATGACAAAAGACTCCCTGATACACTGAAAGTGACAGATGTATTTAACAGTGGTCAAATAGTTGCTTTCGAGGTCCCTTAGGAAGGCAATGAATAAGGCATTTTTTCCATTTTACAGATTGGCATACTCTGACTGTGACGTTTAGTCCAGAATTTCTAACCTCATGATTTTGAAGCTTCCAGTCCGCATAGGCAAAGACATCTCTTTGTGTGTGGTAACGGTGACTGGAATTAAGGGGTAAATTATGGAGGAACCAAAGCCTTGGGTTTAAGATGCTGAGCCCCTGCACTCCCAACAGTTTCATGTGAAACTGAAATTTTCAATCTCATGTCCCTGAAAATCAGCCCTATTCCTGTATTTCATTCTGTACAGACAATATAAAAAAAATTACGGAGTACTTGTGAAAACTATAGGTGTTAATAAGCTGTGTAAGATCAGTCAGTGAATTAGTGACAAAACAATTTAAATAGAATGGGGTATGGATTTTTAAGTTTGGTGGTGGTAGTGGTGTGTTTTATTAAGTCAATCCTCTGGTCACAAGAGCATATTTCTCTTCAAAATAAACAGAAAACAAAATTTGGGGGTTTTGAGTTGCAAGTTAGAAAAAAAAAGACCATTTTCTTTCCAATATTTCTAGTTTCTACTAACCACCATTTTAAGGAGACTTATGATAACACTTCTTTAGGTTGCATGTCACAAAAGAATGATTTAGAAAATAGGCATGCCTCAGAGAGGCAGGGTTATGGAGCCTAGTTTCATTACCTGCTACTGCCCCAAAGACAGCAGGTACATAGTTAGGATCTACATTAGTTACATTTAGTAATCTTTTTAAAATAACTCTAGTTCTTCTCAGTGCAATCTCTTCAGTGCTCCTTTCTTAGAACTAGACTTCAATTTTTCCATTTTCTTCTAAAAGACTGGAAGGCTGAGGAATTTTGCTGATTCAGTGAAGTCTTTCACTGTCCTTATTTGTATGTTTGAAGTACTAACATTGTGTCTCAGAAAATTTCAGCCCAGACAATTGGTATCATTAGCAGCAACTCAGCAACTTTAGTTCAAATCTATCTCTTGAAGGCTCTGAAATGCCTTCTTTTGCCCTTAATTTCTGTAAAGTTTCATATTTATTGATCTCTACACAAAGATATCTCTCTATACAGTTTTATATTTGTTTATGAATGGAGAAGTATGCCTATTAAAGGAAAAAAAAAGATCTTGAGAAAACACAGATTTTGGTAGATCTACAATTGAATCTACTATTCTGGTGTCATTCTAAAGATTGCATTTTTTACAGATCAAATGCTGCAGTAAAGAGCCATTGTTCACCTGGATATAAAATTGCTCTTGTCTGTGCAGAATCTGCAGGGCGATGCTTGGAACTTGTGCAAATATTTAGCCTGGTGGCACTCTGATTCAGAAGGGGGTCAGACAGTCTGCTGGAATATTCAGCTGCAACATACTAGCAGTTCTTAAAATACTCCAGCTTAAAATGCCACCCAGAGAAGACTTACTTAGTCTTTTCTCAGTTGTCTGTTGAGTCACCCACTTGCGAAAGGGCAATAAACAGGAAGAAATTCAGGAGTAAGGATGACAGCCTTTGGTAATGCTCTCAGCTTTCATGAACTCTCTTCAGTTCAGGAAGAATGAAAAATTATAAAATACATGAGCAAAGCATTTGAGGCTTTTGCAATATATTTAGGTTTCTCTCTTGAAGAGCCTAGAAAAGGTTTTGAAAGGGATGAAGTCACATGAGAATGTTAAATCTCTTCAGAAGTTACTGTTTGCATGGGTTTCTGTATATTGTGCAGAGTTTTTCATGGAGCTTTGCTGTTTCCTGTGTCCAAATGCTATTTCATTATCCTTAATTTTACGCTGACCCAGACCTAGTGATGTATGGAGCAGCCTAGGAACAATTGCAGTGTTATTATTGGCACAGGCATATTGATATCCATCAAAATGAAGGATACCATGGTTTATCCCCACTTCTCAGAGTGTACCCTCCTGTCCACAAAGTGCCCCATCAGTTGGGTGGTCAGAACAGCTGGTACAGAATCTATTCGGATGTACACCTCCAAAATATCTCCCGTTGCTACCCTAAAGATGTTTGTTAACTCCTCTTCAGTATGATAGCTCTCATGTTTATTTTAATCCTTTACTATCTTTAGCAGACTTTGGGAGTGTTAAACATTATTTGCCTAGTCGTGTGGCCTTTCTCCATTTGGTAAACACCAGTCTGTTTCCTGTGTTTTTAATTATTTCATTGCCACCTTTAGTATTTTACTTTCTCAGAGTGGTGAGAATTAAGGTTTATGGCAGTTACTTCTGCAAATTCAGCAGGGGTGGCATGCAGGATTGTTTTCTCATTACCTCATGGGGGAGAAATGGTTGGCCTTTAAGATATGTGTGAATTCATGGCTTTCACAGCCAGCTTGGAAATACAACCCATGCCAGCTTGGCTTCTGATTCCAAACTTCTTCAAGGATTAATGGAACTGCGACAAAACACAGCTTCTCCTTCTGTACTGAGCAGTCCTCATCATCTTTCTTGAATCTGGGGAAACTCAGTCCAAACAGACACTTAGAGGAAACATGGGAAAAGCTGGCAAATACTTGAGAGAGAATGACACTGTGAAAGCCAACAGGAAGCAGGATGTCACAAATACAGGAGCTTAGATAACTATATTGAACACGACAATGAGACATATCCAGAAGGGTCACATCTGAGGTGATTTCCTTCATTTAAAAAAAGTTCTCTTTAAAGCCAATAGACATTTTTGCTTAAAAGAAAACAATAGTGAAGGGTCAACCTCAGGATTCGGCCCATTGAATATTCTTTGCATAATGCCCAGCAACATGCAAAGCCAATTTCCTTAAATAACTGAGTGTCATTAGCACATGGAGGTTTTACCATCAGTCTTTCCTTTTTTTGATATAAACCATCATGAACTCATTTGGTATTAATGGAAACCCCATGGGTTTGCATGCTGTCATTTAGCATTAATTAATGTATCATTGTTTAAATCCTGTTACTTCCCATCCAATAGCTGGGAAGCTCTCAGAAAGTTCTCAAAGGGGTTGATTTATTTTCTTTGGCTTCATGGTTGCAGTCCATACTTGTCATGCATGTATATATTGAATGACGAAAGGATTCCAGGTGCTCAGCCATCCAAAGAGGACAGCTTAATCACAGAGCAGCACAGTTGTGTACATATGTTTGAAAAGCGGTGAAAATCTGTTCTAAAAGTTTTCTTCAAGGTGTGGGGGTCCTTACAATTCTTGTTGTAACTGTAGAGCAGGATAGGTCCTCAGCCCCTCTCAGGGTTTAGCATTCTCTCCGTGGGCAGTGAATTTTCAGACTCGCCACCTCCTAAAAAGCTACCTTTGCAGCATTCCTCTAGCTCAAGCTGGGAACCACTGGGGGCAAATTGCAGTTCAAATATCTGACAGAGCCTCTGACAGCAAAAGCTCTTGTGAGCCTCAGGATGGTTCTTAAAGTCAATTCAATAGTTAGATGAGATTTCATTAAAATAAAAAATTGGA